TGGAAGGACAGATCCTGAAGCTGAGGCTCCAATACTTTGACCATCTCATGAGAAGAGAAGACTCCGTGGAAAATACCTTGATGTTGGGAAAGAGTGAAGGCAAGAGGAGAAGGGGACAACAGAGGACGAGATGGTTGGTCAGTGTTATCGAAACTACCAACATGAATTTGACCAAACTCCGGGAGGCAATGGAAGACAGGAGGGCCTGGCGTGCTCTGGTCCATGGGGTCACGAAGAGTCGGACACGACTTAACAACTAAACAACAACAACTGCAATAGAATTCTGGCCATTGTCTATTAAGCTGAAAGAACTTGAATCTAGTACCTTCTGTGTTCATTCCTAGTTGTTCTTCATAGCAGCTCATTTGAATGTGGAGTCCTCTCCTCTTTCTTTTGTATTGTTAAATACAAGTATGAGGAGATTAACAACGTACTGGAAATGGCAACAGAAATGTAGTGAATACAATTGAGTTTTATGGCACCTTAAAGATTAAAAGGTTTTGAACAGGATAAGTTTTTCACTGACTTTAGCGCACTTCTTCAGTTCCTGTGAGCCGTAATGCACAAAAGCTGATGTCAAATAAATCTTTTTAGTCTTCAGTATGTCATTAAACTTTATTGGTTTTGTCTTACAGATAAACATGTTTACCCCCTGGAAATTTAACAGATAGAGCTCTATGCTAAATTTATAGAATATAGATAAATTTTCAGGGTTTATTTAATTATGAAGAGATGATGAAAAAACTATAATGAATGATCTGGAATATATTTATGGAAGTATCTGTTTTTTGATTATAGGTACGGGAACACCACAGAAAGCTCAGAAAGGAAGCCAAGAAACGTGGACACAAAAAGCCTAAAAGAGATCTAGGAATTCCCAACTCTGCGCCTTTTAAGGAGGAGGTTCTTCGGGAAGCAGAACAGAGGAAACAAAGGGTAAATGAATAAAAGGTGGCCCCGTTACATGTTGTCCTAGAAATGCATAATGGACCATTATTTACTGTCAGCAGTGATGAGCGAAATCCATTTAAAAGTACAGTGGTGCCTCGCTTAGCGATTGCCTCGTTTAACGATGTATTCGCTTAGCGATGAGGTTTTAGGAGTGAGCTTGCGCTCCATTTAGTGATGTTTCCAGTGGGGGAATTTCGCATAGCGATGTTCGGGACCTTGCTTCGCTTAGCGATGACAGTTTAGGTCCCCCTGTTTCGCTTAGCGATGTTTTTGACAGCTCCATTTTTGCTATTTTTTAAAGGTGTTAAATTGTTTTTAAAGGGTTTAGAGTGCTTGGAATCGTTAGTGCACTTAATAAACCCTTTGTTAACCAAATTTGGCTTCGTTCTGATTCTTTTTGAATTTTTGGTGATTTTTTTCCTCCCCCATTGAAATGCATTGAAAAGGTTTCAATGCATTCCAATGGGGGAACCGCGTTTCGCTTAGCGATGTTTCCTATGGCAATTTTCGCTTAAGGACGGCAATCCGTTCCCATTGGAACGGATTATCTGGTTTTCAATGCATCTCTATGAGAAAACACGTTTTACTTAGCGATGTTTTCCCATGGCGATGTTTTTCCCGGAACCAATTAAAATCGTTAAGTGACTTAAATTTCATATCTTTTTAAATTATTCTGTCAAGTTTGACATTAGTGTTCCAATTTGGCTAATTAATTTGAGCTGACTGGCGCATTTTCTATAACAGCATTGATGAACTAGTCACAAAGCATTTGTAGCATTTGCTTCCATTTGAAGTGATGTGCTGGCAAATAGAAATAAGAAAGCGTAAAACTGGTCTTTTATTTTATAATAATCTTAGAAGATACCTGGAAGGGACCCTGTGGGTCATCAAGTCCAGCCCCTGTCAAGGAGGCACAGCGGGGAATTGAACTCCCAGCCTCTGGCCCTGCATCCAGGTAACTAAACCACTGAGCTTTCCAGTAGTTCCTGACTATCTGGCATGATGAAATGTTCTCTTCTGCTTGTATTAATTTTAGCGAAGTCCAAAATCTTACTGGTTCTTTCATGCTCATATGGAAAAAAAACAGCAGTCACTGCTCTTTTCTTATGAGCTACCAGTTGCAGGCTTGGTCATGTGAATAGCACCATGTCAGCAAGCCAGAATAAACTGCTGTGGATTTCCACATTTTCTCATATCCACATGTAAATAATCAGTAGGATTTTGGTCTAGATATTTCATTTTAGGGGTTCCAGAAAAGTGTGTCAATAATACATGAATATTTGTGAATAGTCAATTGCAAGGCATGGCTTTCTGAAGAGCGGGGAAATTTGCATGTAACTTAGTGTATCTTTTGTTTGTGTTTGAACAGCTTGAAGAACTGAAACAAAAGCAAAAACTTGATCGACAAAAGGAGCTCGAAAAGAAAAGAAACAAAAAGAATAAGGATGCTAATGAAGCAAAACCTCATGAAAAGGTATGAATTTTGAAGAAAGTGCATGATGGACACTAGGTTGGATAAGAATAATATTTCTTATGATGGGGCTACTTGGATACATGTGACTGGGGAAATTCAGCCAATGTAGTGCTTACATGCATGCAATTTATGCCCATCATGTGTAAAAAATAAGATCTAGCAAATGGCCAAGATAAGGCTATTGAAGTACCTGCTTCTGGTAAAAAAAAAAAGTCAAATTGAATTGGACTTACCAGTTTAAGTTGCTTTTAGTTTTACCAATATTTTGTATGCATCCATAATTTTAAATGTGCAATGCCATGATACAAATAAAGAATTTCTAAAATCTTGGTTACTTTTTTGGGCAGTGAGCCTGGATGTCCATGCCAGCTGCTTGCCTGCAGTTCTTTAATTTTGTATTGGAAGCCGCCTAGAGTGGACTGGTAGTCCAGATAGGTGGGGTATAAATCAAATAAATAAATAAATAAATTTCCAGTTCAGCATCTAATTTCTCACTGTGACCCAGAGTCAGACCATATCTGCCTGAAGTGGGCTAGCAGGGAAGTTACATCCACAGCCTCCCACTCCTCCTCTTGCTTCAAGGTGGAAAAGGTATATGTAAGGGGAGAAGAGAGTCAGGGAGTCACTTGCTTTCCGTATTGTGGTTGGGGCCCTTTCCCTGATTAAAAGCAGATAATATGCTTCACTTAGAAATGTTTATATTGTTTACATTATTTTTCATTGCTTATGATGTCTGTGCAAGGAAAAGAGTTGCACATAGAGATCAGTGAGAAAATGCTAAATGTCTCTAAATAGTTTGAATTTGGTAGAAGTGCACTCAGAAATGTGTGTGATGGGAGATAAGTGTGTGAAAATGTATGCAGCTCCTAATTTCTGGTGTCCCTGTGTCCTTTCTCTTAGAAATCAGCAAATAAACAGGAACCAAAGTCAAAGCAGAATGTACAGAAAAATTCAAAGAAATCCTTTTGTCAGGAGCTTAGAAAGGTAAGATTTCATCAGTTTCTGTGACCTGAGGTTAGTTACAGTGATTTCATTTTCCCTTTGTGTTCATTTGATACCTTTTACAAATAAAAGTTTGGTATTTATGTTCATTGGATGTTGGTGGTCTTTCTTCTGTTGAGGATTTCGTCCCCTTCCCACCCAACCGAGGTATTTTTATTTTAGCGAACCAGTGTGATTTAGTTTAGTAGGTGTGGCACCGTAGGGAAGGAGCCTTTATCTCTACCCCGACGGTATTCCACAGTGCCTCTAGTTTGCAATTTCCAACAGGCTTTTGTTAGGCTCTGTACATAGACTGCAGCCCTCATCCAGTCGATCCTAGTCAAAAAGCTTTCTGTCTCAGAAACCACTGCTGTCCAGGTGAAGATCTTGCTCACTATCATAGACCACTGCTGTCGTCCAGGTGAAGATCTTGCTCACTATCATAGGTCCCATCTAAATCCCTCTTTGGTGTCGGAGTCTCTCTTTGGTCAATTTGTGATCTCCCTTCTTATTTCTCTCACCCTTCTAAATCTTCTTTTTGTTGAGTAAAGTATTTCTTCACCACTGTGTGTTTTTACTTGTGGAGTAGAAAAGTGCTTCCACTTTTTCCACCACTGTGGAGTAGTGTTCAGATAGGTCCTCAGATGGGCCAGATGAGGACTGGGCACTATCTAGGATTGGATAACTCACCCTGCTTGCCAGAGGCCCTCCCAATTCTGGCCCAATTTCTTCGGCTGTCTGTAGTTGGCAGGAGCATCAGTGGCATGTCACTGCTGATAGGGAAGCACCCCAGCAACCCTCTCCCATGACTTTCTGATCTTCCTTCCATCCTTCCTGCTACACCTGTGTGTGTGGCATTGCTTCCTTCCTTCCTTCCATCCTGATCTTCCTTCCATCCTGCTACACCTGTGTGTGTGGCATTGCTGAGTGATGGGGAGGACATGTAGAAGAGTCCATTGAGGGCATCATAGCCAGGTGCCACTCCAGCTGCACATTCGACTTGCTTCCCTTTGTCCTGTAAAGCTTGGGGTAGAGAACAAGGCAATCCGACATCATCCCAATAATACACATTATGTGAGCTTGTCATGAAAATGGCAGCAAGGGCGTGTTGATTTTAGAAGATCATGTTTCTGCATTTTAAGTCTATAGTCTGGAATATTTGTTTTTCCCCATCTTCCTTCAGGTGATTGAGGCTTCTGATGTAGTACTGGAAGTCTTAGATGCAAGAGACCCTCTTGGTTGTAGATGTCCACAAGTCGAGCAGCTTGTTAATCATTCAGAGGGTGGGAAAAAATTACTGCTGATTTTAAATAAAATTGGTAAGTGGCATAATGTTTTTACTCTGCAAATGCTTTTCAGCCACGGGTCAGTGAAGCCGAAGTGATTCAAGGTTTCATAGTACCATATTAATAGGAGTACTTTCTGTGTTCACCTGAGCCGAAGTTCTAGAATAGTGTGCACAAGATTTTAAGACTTATTTGGAAATTCCTGCATAGAAATAAGTTCCATAGTGTGCTGGTAAACCTGGCTTCAGGTAAATGTGATTGAATTAAGATATTAGTAGAGCAAGTGACATTTCCAGTCACTCACATAATTTTCCAGTAGGAGGTGAGCTGTGAAGACACAAAATCATACTGATGTATCTCTGAAGATTATCAGATCCAACTCTGAGCTCACTGTTCTTGCTAAAATAACATTGTCAGTTACTTATTGGTCTTGTCCTTCGTTTCTCACAGCAGCTTAGTTGTAAATGTGATGCTTATAGTTTATTCTATGGAAATCCTTCAATTTTTTGTGTACCAACCTTCTGCTAAAGTTCAAGCCTTTTTTTGTAACTTGAGAAATTTATGGTGAAGAAACTGAATTTTCTGACACTTGTGTTTTCTTTTGTTTTCTGATTGATAGATAGAAAGATTGATAGATAGATAGATTGATAGAGAGAGAGAGAGAGAGAGATAAAGTCTTTAACAAAAGCCATCTAATGAAATGAAGCAGTGGATAAACTCTTCACAGGCTGCTGGTACTGATTTTTTCAAAGGCTCTAGCTGCACAACGATGTGCAGCAGACGTCATAATTGAATAGCATATGGAGCTTTCCAGACTCATACTTTCCAGCTAGAATCTTACTGCCACCCCTTAGTCCAGCAATGGCGACTGGCACACGGAGCCCTTTCTGCCGCCAGATCGCTACTCCCCCTTCCCCCCCTCGCAGCCAAACCTGAGCCGGCAGGTGCAACCACAGTGCTATTGCCCGGACAAGCGGTGGGTCAGGATCCTGAGCAGCTGGTGCTGGCGGCAGATCCAGAGTGGGGTCTTGAGGCACCTCTGTGCCCAGGATTCTCCCTTCCGCCACCACTTCTGGTTCTGCTGCCGCCACTTACGGTTCCGCTGCAGCAGCACACCGCCC